TAAAGAAAGAGGGAAAAAGAAAGAGAGTGAACAAATAAAAAATCAACAAAACAAACAATCCCCAAACTTACAATAAAACAACAATGACAATAACAGCAACAACACCAACAAAAGAAAAACTAACAGAAAACAGAACAAAAAACAGTACCACCAATAAAAGACCAAAGGATCAAATGAAAATAAATACAAACCCCGCGTTTAGAGAAAACCCAACCAAACAAAACAAACAAGTAGCTCAGCCCAGGCAGGCAGGGAGAAGTAAGGGTTCACCAGAAGGCTACAACAAGGCTACACACATGGTTACAACAAGGCTACATACATGGCTACATATATGGCTACAACAAATTACACACATGGCTACAATAAATCTACAAACACAACTACATACATGGCTACACCGAAGCAGCCATCAAGTCTTCGAGCCGTCACCGTGCCTTATGTAACCACAAATCCCTTAATAAAATATGACCATCCGGTGCGAGGTGAGGCCAAGAAGCTAAGGTCACGCCAGGGCAAGGGCCAAAGGTTACGGGGACAGAGATACAAACGGATCGTACATTAAGCTACACACGTAGGTAAACCATGTCCAGCGAAGGGGAACATAGATCTAGAGGTGACCAGCAATAGGGTACCATGAAGTAGATGTATAGTCGAAGCTGTTCCATTGCCGAGTGGTTGTCTAAGACTGGTGAACATCTTAAACCGTATTATTATGTACAATGTAGGAAAAAATAAAAGAAACGCAAGACGGGAAATGGGAAATGGTCTTTTGAACAGGTGATTGTCCTAACAGGAACCCCCAAAACCCAGCCGATCCTGTCTGTGATTGTTTTGTTGGAGTGAAGAGAGGCGCACATTCACACGACATTGTCATTAATTACATCTAAAGTAAAAGGGCGGAAAGGGGGGGGCCGGACATTGGGGATTGCCTTGTAAGTGAGACAACTTCATAGGCCTTCGGCATATTGTGGTAGATGAAGGTATTGTCTTAGTAAACGTATAGGGCACATGTACAGTTAGCACAATTAGGTCATGTAAGTCCCTCTCTCTATACAGCAAGCTCGTTCTGTTTTCTTCTCCCTCTGTCTGTCTGTCTGTCTGTCTGTCTGTCTGTCTGTCTGTCTGTCTGTCTGTCTGT